ATATTTTCTATAATTTTTTTCTTATGAAATGATAAAGCTTCCCATTTCATTATGTATGAGGTCAATTTTTTTTTATTGTATCTACAATTAACGTAGATATATGACCGAACCTAACCAACCCTACCTAACCTAACCTAACCTATCTTTATAGGTTAGGTTAGGTAGCCGAAAAAGTTATGTTGGGTTAGGTTAGGTAGTCAAAAAAAACAATTAATTCATGAAAACTTGGCTTATTAGGCAAATCGGGCCTTGCATAGTAGGTTGAGAAGTGCGTTCTGGCTACTAGGTACGACATATATACATATACATATATATATTATATATATATATATATATATATATATATATATATATATATATATATATATATATATTTATATATATATATATATATATATATATATATATATATATATATATAATGTCGTACCTAGTAGCCAGAACGCACTTCTCTGCCTACTATACAAGGCCCGATTTGCCTAATAAGCCAAGTTTTCATGAATTGTTTTTCCACTACCTAACCTACCTAACCTAACCTAACTTTTTCGGCTACCTAACCTAACCTAACCAATAAAGATAGGTTAGGTTAGGTTAGGCAGGGTTGGTTAGGTTCGGTCATATATCTACGTTAATTTTAACTCCAATAACAAAAAATTGACCTCATACATAATGAAATGGGTAGCTTTATCATTTCATAAGAAAAAAATTAGAGAAAATATATTAATTCAGGAAAACTTGGCTTATTAGGCAAATCGAGCCTTGCATAGCAGGCCGAGTACGACGTTCTGGCTACTAGGTACACACATATATATATATATATATATATATATATATATATATATATATATATATATATATATATATATATATATATATATATATATATATATATATAATGTGTGTACATAAAGGGTGAAGGTAAATATATTGGTGAAGGGAATCATGTGTTGTTTATCCCCCTCTTATTTATGCATTGCACTACTACCAGCCCTTGAAAGCATACTACCAACTTGGGGTCGGATAGTATAAAAGAGGTTATAACATCAAGAACCCAGTTACTGGCCCTAAGTGGCCATAACATCGATTAATTTCGATTAGGTTATTACTAAATAACCCCCCAGGATGTGAAGGGAGGCTCCTAGCAAACCAGCTTTGAATATACAGTCCGCTTTAAAATAAATCATCAATAAATAAAATAATAATAATTTAATATAATAAATAATTAGTAATTAGTAAATCAAAAAATATATTCCTGGTAGGAGAATTTTCCCCACACCTATGCAAATCAGCTCTCGATTTGTCAACTTCTCATCCTCTTGGGCTGCCGAGTGATATAGCAGGTCTACTGTAAACCTTACCTTGAGGTGCTTCCGGGGCTTAGCGTCCCCGCGGCCCCGGTCGTCGACCAGGCCTCCTGGTTGCTGGACTGATCAACCAGGCTGTTGACCAGGTCGCAAACAACTCTTCACTAGCTGGTTACTGGAGTTCCCAAGTAATGCACATCATATATCAACAATTACTCACAGTCGGGGCTCTTGATATATAGCCATCACATTGACTCCTGCTATGGAATCAAGCAGGTGAGACAGATCACAGTGTTGAAACTTCTGCTACACCTATGACGAGAGTGTATGTGGGAGAGAATGTGTATGCTGATTGTTAACGTAAGTACTTGAAATTTTATTGTGTACCATTTGTCTCGCGTTCTTGGCACCCTATGGTAGCCAAGTTAGATTAAACTGCAAACATCTGTAACGGGTGATGCAAAGTATTTACAAAGACTGGAGGGACTCTTGGCTCAGATTGGTGTAAACCCATTTGAGTAAAGGTTCTCATGATTGCTGGTTGAAGAATCGAGCATGTGTGTGTGATTATTTTTCAATACACGTTAGACGATGTATACAATACATCTGCTGTGCATGCAAATTAATGTTCCGAGCATCCTATTGAGCGCCTGTGAAATGCGGAAGTGAGCTCCTCGAATTCGGAAGTGACAGGTAGCTGTGTAGTGAAGCGTGTCATATACTGCAGTGGAAAGATTAAGGCACATTACGAACCTGATATTGTATGCAGGACGAGTACCGCTTTATACCTGTATGCAGGACGAGTACCGCTTTATACCTGTATGCAGGACGAGTACCGCTTTATACCTTTGCATGTGACGCATTGTAAAGACAATTCCCAAGCCAAGTACGTAGGATTAAGGGTAATAAACTAGTTACTTTAATTTACACATGCTTGTATTACTGATCCCTTCTCCCTTAAATATAAATCTGTCATCCGCATTAAAAAAAGAACCATATCATTATTAGCCCACCCACCATATAAATTTTATGGAGGTGATGTTGTAATTCCTTGCCTAGCAAGTTGAGTTAGGCACGACCAATAATCTAGGAAAATTCGTCTTGATTACGTGTTGCTCTAAGCTCTTACTATTGTTGATAACCATTGTGAGAAACTGGTCATATTACATTGTGGTTATTGCACACAGAGGTGGTCCAAGAAAAAGTAATCAAGGAGACTGCGCATAATGGACCATCTCTTCTCATCAGACATCAAAATCTCGCCATGACGCGACACTACCTGTTGGCATGTTTGTAAATGGCTGGCTGGGCTCACCCGTCAAAATTGAAAAAAAATCTAAAAAATAAAAAATTATCCTGACGGTTTCTATCTTGAAACAAAATAATCATTGAGCTGTCTTACATGTATAAAAATGGGAAAGAATGGCTCTTGACCTCAGGAAGAGGTGTGGTGCAGAGAAGGCACTGCAACACTGTCTTTGTTTCTGTCTCTTTCTATGTCAGACAGTAGTTTGCTGCCCACAATGCGGTATGCTGACTACAGGTTTTGCTTTGTACAACTACATACTTCAATTACACGCTGACTCAACTATACTTAGATAATTTTTTGTCACTTATCAAAACCATACAAATAGTTCTCTGTTTCACTTCCACACCTACCAACTTTCCTCTTACAGGAATACATTTACTAACTCTTCCTCCATTCCTGACTATTTCTCCTTGTTAAAATAAAAAAAATACTTCACTGGAGTGTTGCACTGTGACCTCAAGCCTATTCCACATGCCTGTGACCTTATGACTGTATAACATGCTTCTGTCCTTATGCCTCTCTCAAATGCCGGTGCCTTCATGCTTGCTCTTCGTCTCTGCTGCCCGTACATGCGCCCTTATGCCTGTCTCACATGTATGTGCTCTTATGACTTTTCCACATACAGGTTCTATATATAGGTCAAGAAAGCATGATATCTCTTACCTTGAAATTGAGTCTTAGGAAAAGCAATCACTGCAGTAATTTCAATTTATACATTTGCTTTAATTTATACATTTACATCAATTTATATATTACTTGCTTCAGTTTATACATTATTTGCTTCAATTTATACATTGTTTACTTTAAGTTATCAATGTATAAAATATGTCTACTTGTATATTTTTATGATTAATCTGGTTTGTAATACATTTTTTATTCATTCAGCATCAATATCGTATAAATGGGTGCGTTTGGTTATTCTAGGAGAAAGATTGAAATTCCTGGATGTTCAGTAAAGAACCAGGTAAAGTATCTGGTTGCCCAGTTTTATGACCTAGTTATGTTAGCTGAGTAAGTAAGTCGTAACTTACTTTAAGTATTTTATTGAAAAAATATATGAGTAATCACTCTATTATAAGTATTAGATATAATAAACCTGCTTAGGATTCATCCATTTGTTGATGTCTTTGATGTGTGTTGAGTGATTATAGTGTGGGTGATGTATTCTTGTATGTAAATGAAATGTATTGTTATATTGCATGAATATATGTTCGTATGTGCGTGCGTGTTAAGTAAGGAGTGAGCTAGTTGAGATCTGGGCTTCTCGGGACATGGAGTGACCGAATGTGGCTATCGGTGGTACCAACCTTGAGTACCACCAGACAGTGGTGATACTCAGATCTTGTGGTGGTACGCAGGAAGGTGGTACTCAGTAATACCTCTACCTGAGGTAGTACCTGAGTACCACCTCAAGGTGGTACTCAGGTCTTGTGGTGGTACTCAGGTCTTGTGGTTCTCAGACAGTGGTGGTACGCATGTCACCGACAGGTCTTATCGACGACCTCCCCTTGTCAAACGGGGAGATGTATTTATATTATAATAATAATATAAACAATTAATGATTATTACTCTTCCTTCTGCTGGGTCATGAACGAAGCCGGCCTCGGGTGAAAGGGGGGTTGTGACGATTTAATTGTCAATTACGGTTAAGTTGATGCAACGGTTTCTTTCTTATGTGTTTCATGTGGTGGGAGTTCCTAGTGGAGAGTTAGTTAGCCATTTTACTTAATTTACTTGGGGGTAATCTGGTTAATCTGGTCCTGAATACTGGACCGGATACATTTACTTTAACCTTAATTGTAAGTATGAGTGTATGTGTATATCATGCCTATAATATACTGATGTGTATTTGAATTAGTGTCTCATTCTCCTCCAGTCATTATCCTTCTACACAAGCGATTCTCAGGGCATCTAAGGGGCCAATAGATTCAAAAATGAAAATGGTTCGATTTCATTCAAACTTTTTTGACGTGTCGTATAAAAAAAGGGTTTCACCTGGTCTAGGTCTCAGCAACGTAGCATAAATAGGAAGGGCGAACAAAAATTGAAGTAGTAAAACTTCATTTTCCAAAATAGTCAAAAACGAATATCAAACACAAGTGTCAACTGATATCATGTCTATGACTCTCAGCTATCACAATAGCATATATTAAAAAAAATTATAATTATTTTTATTAAAAAAAATAAGTTAATTTTTTTTTCAATTTTATTTTTCGTATTTGTTTATCGGACGATAAACATGAAACTTATACACCCGACTGTACGTAAGCCTATCTGTAAGGGTGCCAATTTTGGAGGAAATTGGTTGATGTCAATCTCAGCCACAGATGGCAGCACCTTTGACTTTAATTTTTGCTTAGTTATTTCAGGTAACATAAATGTTCCTATAACACTTTCATTTTTTATTCAATTGACATGAAACTTGCACCTTATATGTAAAGTTTATGTCTCTAAAATACAGGGCCAGCGTTTCTTCCTAAGTTCATTTATTCAGTTTATAATAGCAATTAACATGTTACATTTGCATATTTTTTGGGGGGAAGTTTGACTATTTGTATTAGGAAAACTAAACATGTTTTTGAAAATTTCCGACCTCAGATCCTTTATTATATGCTAATGTGTCAGAAAAGTGTCATAGAATGAATATATCTGAAACGTGTGGTTGTATATAAACATTTGAAAATGTGTAATATTCGTTGAAAAAAATAATAAATAAATCTCCCTTTCTATTTAGGCTGCAGTACTAAAGCTTGGAACACTTGTAGCCCTTTTCATATACAACTAGTCAAAAAATATTGGTTGACATTGAACAACTTTTAATAATTTATCTATTAGCCTCTGCTTTAGCATCTTAAGGGACATTAAGCTATCCACGAGCCGATATAAGTGAGGCTCGTAACACCCAGGTACAAGGTAGTCCCAGACGGGTAAGAACAAAGAGGGTGGTGGTTTTAGAGATGTGGTTCAAGGGTTCAGAACAGTGGGTGGAGGGGGGGGGGGAGGAGCATAGAGTGATGGACTCAAAACACTGGGCGGTGGGCCTAAAGCATAGAGTGGTGGGCTCAGAACAGTGGATAGTGGGCTGGAAGCGATGGGAGATAGGCATAAGACAGGGGGGGGGGCTGGGTGATGGGCTTAATTAAGACAGTTGGTGGTGGGTAAAGATCAGTGGGTGGTTGGTGTAGAACAGTGGTAGGTGCTCTCTGAATAGTAGGAAATATGCTCTGAGCAGCGGTTCAAAAACAAAGAACAGTGGGTGGTGGATTCTAAACTATGGTTGGAAAGGACAGACGGAGGGAGAGATACAATAAGCGTAGGCGGGGTTCGTGTTGAAGACCTTGTCGCCAAGACAGGTACCAATGTCGGCTGGATAACCGACGAACTGACAGATGAAGTACTCTTGTTCACACGTCGTACACTTGGGGAAGTAGCCCACGTTTGTACAAATCATCGAATCCAGGCAGTTAGGAGTGGGTGCTGTTGTAGTGCTCGGTCCTGTTGTTGGGGTGTTCGAGACTGATGTTGGGGTGTTCGAGACTGATGTTGGGGTGTTCGAGATTGATGTTGGGGTGTTCGAGACTGATGTTGGGGTGTTCGAGACTGATGTTGGAGTGTTCGAGACTGATGTTGGAGTGGAACTGCCTCCCTCGGGGGTTGTTGTATTATCCCCAGGAAACGGGGAAGCACACAGTGCGCTACAATCTGCGCCATCTATACACTTACCCTCCGCAACGTCAAAATATTGCCCTGAAGCGCAGGTAAAATGATAAGAGGGATCGGCTGGTCCATCAGCGGGGCAGAGGTAGTACTTGTGACAGTCATAAGGGTCTTGGGTCTCCACTTGACCATCCATGCAGTAAGCAGCACACGGGTCCCTACAGCACACGGATGGGCTCACCTCGCAGGCCCCGGAAGTGCCGTTAAAATAAGGGGAGTTATCGGGACATGGCAAGGGCCCATAGACGTTGCCACCAGTGCAAAAATAATAGCTGCTGCAATTCTTTGGGTCAGGACGAGTGCCCGGGTCGCTGCTGCACTCTAATTCGCACTCAGGAAGTATGCAGGTATTTGCACATGGTAGGGTACCAGTACAATCTTGAGCAGTACTATCGAAAGATGTACCATCCGGACAAGGCAGAGACATGTCGGATGCTTCACCATCGGCTATACAGAGGTAATACCGAGTACAGTCGGAAGGATCTACAACCTTATCCCGAGGATTCATGCCGGTACAGTCTGGTTCACAGTCACTCTGGGCGAGGACCTGGGAGACACAGAGCAGCGCCGTCACCCACGCCACCTGCAGCAGACACCCGCCATGTTAATGTTTCTGCTGAAACTACCACTGATAAAACATGTTAAAATATATCAAACATTACCTTGAACTGGAAATATAAAATGGTAAAAATCACAAACATTTTTTACAAGCATTTGCAGTCAGTTATTGTTATAGTTGTCAGTGTTGTTATAGCTGTCAGAGTTGTTATAGCTGTCAGTGTTGTTATAGCTGTCAGAGTTGTTATAGCTGTCAGTGTTGTTATAGCTGTCAGAGTTGTTATAGCTGTCAGAGTTGTTATAGCTGTCAGTGTTGTTATAGTTGTCAGTGTTGTTATAGCTGTCAGAGTTGTTATAGCTGTCAGAGTTGTTATAGTTATAGCTGTCAGAGTTGTTATAGCTGTCAGTGTTGTTATAGCTGTCAGAGTTGTTATAGTTGTCAGTGTTGTTATAGCTGTCAGAGTTGTTATAGCTGTCAGTGTTGTTATAGCTGTCAGTGTTGTTATAGCTGTCAGTGTTGTTATAGTTGTCAGTGTTGTTATAGTTGTCAGTGTTGTTATAGTTGTCAGTGTTGTTATAGCTGTCAGTGTTGTTATAGTTGTCAGTGTTGTTATAGCTGTCAGTGTTGTTATAGTTGTCAGTGTTGTTATAGCTGTCAGAGTTGTTATAGCTGTCAGTGTTGTTATAGTTGTCAGTGTTGTTATAGCTGTCAGTGTTGTTATAGCTGTCAGTGTTGTTATAGTTGTCAGTGTTGTTATAGTTGTCAGTGTTGTTATAGTTGTCAGTGTTGTTATAGTTGTCAGTGTTGTTATAGCTGTCAGAGTTGTTATAGCTGTCAGTGTTGTTATAGCTGTCAGTGTTGTTATAGCTGTCAGAGTTGTTATAGCTGTCAGTGTTGTTATAGCTGTCAGTGTTGTTATAGCTGTCAGAGTTGTTATAGCTGTCAGAGTTGTTATAGTTGTCAGTGTTGTTATAGCTGTCAGAGTTGTTATAGCTGTCAGTGTTGTTATAGCTGTCAGAGTTGTTATAGTTGTCAGTGTTGTTATAGCTGTCAGAGTTGTTATAGTTGTCAGTGTTGTTATAGCTGTCAGAGTTGTTATAGCTGTCAGTGTTATTATAACTGCCAATATTGTTATAGTTGTCAGTGTTGTTATAGTCGTCAGTATTTTATTAGTCAGCGTTGACCCAGCAGAATATACCAGAGAACTACTGCCATTCGCAATGTTTTACATTAAAAAATGGCAAGAATTAAATTGTTTATTATACTGGAAGGGAGACCCGGAAGTCCCCTGGTCAACCCAGACACCATATATGTGTGTGTCCATCTTTCACTTTCTCAGTCTCTGTCTATATGGTCTGGTCTGTCTCTGTCTCTGTCTCTGTCTGTCTGTCTGTCTGTCTGTCTCTGTCTCTGTCTCTCTCTCTGTCTGTCTGTCTGTCTGTCTGTCTGTCTGTCTGTCTGTCTGTCTCTCTGTCTGTCTGTCTCTCTCTCTCTCTCTCTCTCTCTCTCTCTCTCTCTCTCTCTCTCTCTCTCTCTCTCTCTCTCTCTCTCTCTCTCTCTCTCTCTCTCTCTCTCTCTCTCTCTCTCTCTCTCTCTCTCTCTCTCTCTCTCTCTCTCTCTCTCTCTCTCTCTCTCTCTCTCTCTCTCTCTCTCTCTCTCTCTCTCTCTCTCTCTCTCTCTCTCTCTCTCTCTCTCTCTCTCTCTCTCTCTCTCTCTCTCTCTCTCTCTCTCTCTCTCTCTCTCTCTCTCTCTCTCTCTCTCTCTCTCTCTCTCTCTCTCTCTCTCGCTGTCTTTCAGAATAAATTTAATTACAGTTTTTATTGTTGCTATCAATCTAACTATTCACAAATATATCACATTATCGTGATATATCAATTAACAAATCCAAAGGAGCCGTGATGAAGGTTCGAACATATGTGTTGGGTATTACCAGATGCGAGCTCTAGTCAACTGCACCACAACTTTTCATTTCTCTCACGACTGTGCCACGACTGGAGCGCCTAGGAACACCCAGTGCATAGGTTTGACCCCTCATCTCGGCTTCTGTGGATTTGTTAATCTATCTATTGTCATTATTACTAGTACTATAACACTCATGCTACTTTTATTATTATTACTACTACTTCTTTACTTATAATAATATTGTCCCTTACTTCTACTTTCTCTACTACTGCAAATAATAATAATAATAATAATAATAATAAAATAATAATAATAATAATAATAATGATAATAATAATAATACAATACTCTCACAAAACTGGACAACAAACATTTAATCAATTGTTCAAATATTAACAATTGTATAATAGCTGTATGTATAACAGATTACTCCCTCATACCCCACTCAGCATCTTTACAGTTTACTCCCTCATTCCCAGCACACAGCTTCTCTACAGCTTTCACCCTCAAATCTCACATTCAGCTTCTCTACAGCTAATTCCCTCATACCCCACACACAGCTTCTCTACAGATTATTCCCTTATGCATCATATTCAGTTTCTCTACAACTACTCCCTTAAACCACACACACAGCTTCTCTACATCTTACTCCCTCATACCGTATACTCAGCTTCTCTATAGCTTACTCCCTCACACTCTGCATTTAGCTTCTCTATAGCTCATATCCATCATTCCCCACTCACAGCTTCTCTACAGCTTACGCCTTCATTCCCCACATTCAGCTTCGCTACAGCTTACTCCCTCATACCTCTCACACAGCTTCTCTACAGTTTTCTCCCTGATACTTTACATTCAGCTTCTCTACAGCGTAATCCCTCATACTCCACACACAGCTTCTCTTCAGCTTACTCCCTCATACCCCATACACAGCTTCTCTACAGCTTACTCCCTCATACACTACATTCAACATCTCTACAGCTTCCTACATCATACCCTACATTCAGCTTCTCTTCAGCTTACTCAATTATACCCCACGCAGAGCATCTCTACAGCTTACTCCCTCATACACTACATTTAGCTTCTCTATAGCTTATATCCCTCATACCACACACACAGCTTCGCTACAGCTTAATCCCTCATACCCCACACACAGCTTCGCTACAGCTTACTCCCTCATACCCCACACACAGCTTCTCTACAGGTGACTCCCTCATTCCCTACATTCAGCTTCTCTACAGCTTCCTCCATCATACTCCACATTCTACTTATCTACAGCTTACTCCCTCATACCTCTCCTTCAGCTTCTCTACACCTTATTCCCTCTTACCCTACATCAGCTTCTCTACAGCTTACTTCCTCATTCCTTACACACAGCTTCTCTATAGCTTACTCCTTCATATTCCACAGTCAACCTCTCTACAGCTTACTCCCTCATACTCTACACAGTTATATCACTCATACCACACCTACAGCTTCGCTACAGCTTACTTCCCTTTTCCCACATTCAGCTTCTCTACAGCTTCCTCATTCATACTCCACGCACAGCTTCTCTACAGCTTACTCCTTCATACCCCACATTCAGCTTCTCTACAGCTTACTCCCTCATACCCCACATTCAGCTTCTCTACACCTTACTCCCTCATACCCCACATTCAACTTCTCTACAGCTTACTCCCTCAAACCCCACATTCAACTTCACAACACCTTACTCCCTCATACTCCACACAAAACTTCTCTTCAGCTTACTTTCTCATACCCCCACACACAGATTCTCTACAGCTTACTCTCTCATACCCACATTCAGCTTCTCTACAGCTTACTCCCTCAAACCCCACATTCAGCATCGCTACACCTTTCTCCCTCATTCTTCACATTCAGCTTCTCTACAGCTTACTCCTTCATTCACCACACAAACAGCTTCTTTACAGCTTGTGAGGGAATGGTTCACCAGCTCACTTACAATGGTGCTCTTCTGCCTGTACCAGCCAGTACACTTGCTAAGTGCACTTGTTAAGTGCGCGTACTTACATTTGGTAACCAGTAACCGAAACATCTTGTGTTAGGGATCATGTGAGAGTCCTAGTCAACAGCATTCCAGAAATGTTTCCCTGGCCGGGGTAGCACGTCTGGTTACAGAGATATGCCGATAGCATCATTTATTGTATGGCTTGGAGCAAGAACTCTAGATTTGCGCTGGATTCCTGGGACAGCCTGTGGCGAGCGTGGGCCTCCCACAAGCTCCAGCATCGTCGCCATGGCAACGGCCGCCATCTTAGCAAACGTCTGGTGAGTCGGCCATTTTGGCGTGCCCTAGGGGCCATGCTACACCACCGCTGATTGGTTGAGAGGGGTAGGCTGGTGTGTCCCTCCCTCTCATTGGTTCTTTTGAGGAGGACTCGGGGATCACCGGTGATTCTCCCACAAGCATCATTCTGCTCCAGTCACCACCATAGCCTGACGTCTCTCTTGCCCATTCGGCCAAATTGGGCAAGACGACGTCGTGGTGACTGTCTCCTCAGCTTCTCCACTGCCGCCTCCACCAAGACCGCCAGCTGCACAGTCAGAATCCAGCTGGAGTCCTCGTCGAGGGGTAGAAAGATAGGGAACGAGTGAGAAAATCTGGGTCGTGGGTAATTTGCATACGAGCAGTAACAGACTCTTGGATCCTCATACCAGTGATTATAGACGTTCTAATTCCTGCTAGTGCTCTGTAGCAGTCGATGGGGTATAAATGAGTAAGTACTTATGTGTGTATTTCTGGTGATTAGTCAGTCTCTAAGCCTGAATTCAAGGTCAGGTGTTCCGTCGCATTGTCACTAAGCACCTGTAGAGGTGAAGTGAAATGTGGACGAGGAGATAATCACCCTTGTCGACATCTTGTCAGTCCAGAGGGACATACGTCTTGTGTACACAGACGTACAGTGTGTGTGTGTGTGTGGGTACACACGGGAACATAGTATTAGCCAAGGACTAAGAGGATGTCCATGTAATATTTTATATTCCATTCTGGTATAATTGTGGTAATTCAATCATTTTTGATCGTCCGTGGGACGGAGTGATATTATTCCATGTGTAATCTTGCAGGTATGGAATTCCAGTACTGAGCGCTCAGGTTAGTGTCA